ATATGCTGGTGCAAAGCGACGCAGACAAGGCGGCATATATATATATATATATATATATATATATATCACCTCTACTTGCAAGCAGCCTGGGCACTGCGGGACAAGTACTTGTTTAATATTTGCATACAGTAATAGTGCCCGCACCAGAAGTACAGCGACGATTCCCGACTGAGGACTAACAATTGAAATAGGGGTTTCATAAACCACGCAAGAAGCAAATGGGGTCTCCTGCATTCAACAGGCATCATCTGAACAGCTGCCCAAGTGTCTAGGGCTGGTGCGGAGAGGATGTCGTGCCTTGAATTGCATCCCATCATGCTGCAACCAGCGCTGCAAGGCAGACCCGCATGCAAGCGCAGCTGAACACCTGTTTCTACATGCACGAACATTATGGAAGATTGCTGAACTCTTACTGGACCCTTTAGAGGCAGCCTGCACGTAAGTAGTACCACACGTCCTAGCTTCGGACGGGCAATTCCAGAGCCACCACGCCACTCTTACCCAAGTATCACAAGTTCTGGAGCCGCAGCAGCAGGAACGGCGGCAGAAGCAGCAGCAGTTCCTGGTGCTGTACCTCAGTTTTCTGCTTCCGGTTTGCAGCAGCAGGTGTCCTATGCCAGTTTGAGGCTAGGCCAACAGCAACAGCAAGGAGGCGGGAGCAACACGAAACCTCCCGTCAGCTGAAAGGCCTCGGGATGAAATGTCTCCACAGCATGACAGCACTTGTGCTGCATCAACGCCAGACTGCGCATCTTCTGGTGGTGCAGCACCAGCAGCAACAGTGGTTGCTGCTGTCCAACAGCAACAAACAAGCGAAGCAAAACGGCATCCAGCAGCAACTTGAAGCCTGGCAGTAATGCTAGAGCAGCAGGGGATCCAAGAGCAAGCGACTCAACAGCAACTGACCGAGCAGCAAGACTACCAGCATCAAAGTATGCTGCCATGAGAAGCACCAGGAGTCGATGGAACTGCAGAACTAGCAGCAGCCGCAGCAACAAATGCCACAGGAGCCACCTCCTCGGTCCAGCTGCCCAGCTGGGGTACCATGGCGTGTGCTGCTTGAGTGAGACGTCGGGTCAGATGTAGCATTCTTGTGCCCGCAGGTACAGCACGTATTTCTTGCTTGCAGGCTGCCTCCTAGGGACCCGGAAAAAGGCCAGCAACTGTTTAATGTGTTGATGCATGCAAGAAAAGAGGGAGAGGTTGTGCTGCATCTGGGAATAAACGTCGAAGCAGTAAAAGCAAGGTGCGTTACAAGTTCTGGCAGCCCCCCGCCTCCCGCACCTTTCCCAGTTCCTTAGGCCGCTGAGCTCATGGCAACATGGGGTGGAGGGGAGGCCAGTGGCTTCTTGTGTACTCTGATCCTAAGCCTTTGGAGTCCACTGCACCCCCCGGCCGTCCTCCGCTACGCCCGAGGACCTCCCTCACAGTTTCGCTGTGTATGCCGAGGACAGCTGAAAACTCGAAGGCATGTTAGATGATATTTCTAAACTGCTGTCTAGAATATTCCGACTCTATTTCAGCTGGAGACGGTCTACTGCCAACTTCCAGGGTGTTCATTGCTCGGATGACCTTTCTTGCTCTGTATGCCCCTTACGCTAAACCCTAGGCCTCAGAAGGTACCTAGTTAACCGTAAACACTTAGGCACACTCCGACTAAATTTGCAATTGCAGTTAACAGCAACTAACGTGATCTGTGGGCAAACAACCGGTAATGCTAACGATGGACTTCCTTCTGCACGCCGTGCAGAAGCCCACGCATTGTATGGAACCAAGTGTTCTTCAAAGTTCCGCCCTCTCCCGAGAGATCAATGTGGTAAGCTTAATTACTAGACTAAACATAGGAAGCTACACGTGCCAAAAGCTGTTCGACGAAATTGTATGCTTGCCTTCTGGAACGTGGCATCGCTCGGGCAAGTGATCGCCCCCACGCTCACCGACGCCAGAGGAGCGAAGCAGCGCCCTAATGCTTTGTTTGGGCGCCAGCGAGCGTTCGGTTGTTTCATTCTGTTTTCCATACCATTTCTATCAAACCTTCACATACTAAATCTTTTCAGTGCTGCACTTATCCAGATGCTGGTGAGTTCTGCAACGCCACCACTGGCAGATTGTGGCGTGAAGCAAGTAGTTTCTCAGTTGAGTGGGGCTGGCGCAACTGGCTATTTCCCATTCTCTACAGATGCGCCGTTTTATTTTTCGTGTAGAGTGTCTCTGAACCTTTGAAAGCTCTTTTGCTTCCCTTCTGGTAATATCCGTGCTCCAT